AGCAGTATTAGAGCCTTACGTTATTTTTTCACGCCATGAAGGTGTAGGCGAGCCCATTTATTATGAGGCCAATCATGCAGGAACTAGGGAACGCGATTCTCACACCGCGATACGTGCACCATCGCTGAAAGTTGCGGATAGCTCCAGCAATGCGGACAATACGTCCAAATGAAGGCATGTCAACTCGATTTTTGGTTCGTTTGGCACACATCCAAATGTCCTATGTCAGAAAAAAAGACAGAATGATTTTTTCTTAAACTTGCGTCAAGAGGGCAATTATAGGAAGTACCATATAAGTATAATTTAAAAAAAAAAAGTGAGATACGTATTTACGTAAAAACGTTTATTTTTATTTATTCCGAAAAACCCTACAAATGGAAAGAGACGTGCTTTACTGACTTGTCCCCATTCCAGGGAAGGAAACAATGTGGAAAACGCAACACAACGCCTACACTATAAAAAAAAGGGGGGGGGGGGAGGGGTGTAGTTTTACACTTCACCCCCCCCCCCCTCCCTTAGTCTTACACCTCCCCATATATTGCACTCAAAAACTTAAGTTCCATGTACAGCGCACTGCCGTCGAACTAACGGTCCCAGCTTTTACGGGGGACTTGATAACGGTGCGGAATTAAACAACTAAAGGACGTATCAAAGACTACAACAAAAACAACACAAAAAAAGAAACACTGAGGTTTTGCCGAAGGGCCAAGAAAACCTCGATTAACTTTTTTGTAGAAAGTAACACGTACATTAGCTATTTTAATAAGTTGTACCACTCGGCTATCAAGTCGCTCGTGAAACTTGGTACCTTCGATTCGACGTTAGTGCGCTGTACGTCGAACTGAAGTTTTAAGGTGTATTATATCGGACAAAGGGTGTCAATACTACACCGCCTATTTCTGAGAGTGTATGAGAATTGGAACACTCGCCAGAAACTACTAATTATAGTTAACATACATAGTGTTTTCTTAACGCCGGCAGATGTTCAGGCGTTAAAGGAAACGTAAAATAAGCCAAGAAGCCAACAGCAACATAAACCTTCCACAAAGGGTATCTTCACATAATGCATTTATCGTACTCAAATTTCGTGTGTGCGCTCCCAGAAAAAAAAAAATGAAGAACGAAAACGTGTTATTTTTGCATGTGAGAACAACACGGACCTTGAGGCACTGCTCTGATATACAGGCGTTGGTTTGCTGCGACCCCCGCAACGTACTACGACGACCCGCCGCTTTCTGCGAGTGAAAGGTGAAAAGTCCATGCAGTCAGGGGACATGACCAATTCGGCTGCCACTAAAGTAACTCCGCTTCTCTGTGTACTTTGTTGTACTTGCCGGTAGAGTCCGAAGGCCGCATTGTTTGCACGAGCATTCGCAGGAGCACTCGTAAAGACGCGTTTGTACCAGCACCTCTCACAGGGCATAGACAGAACGGTTCAGATTGATGCCCGCACATATACAGGCACTCAAGCGCCTTCTCTGATCCGACCGTTGGCTGGCACAAAGATCGTCGGCCAATCCAGCGTCTTTGTTGTCTACGTTACTGCGACGTGCACGGTGGAATTGCAATAGCAAGTTTTAAATCAACACAATCGTACACGTTCTCTAGCGAGTAAAACACACATACGCACATACACACACACGCGAGTACTACTTACGTAGCTTGGACAAATGTCAGTGAACAAACCTTCGCCGCTTCATCTGCGAGCGTTTACAAATAAAAAATTGCTATTTTTGACGTGACTCATCTTTCTACAGCGGAGCTGTTATGGGCTAGTTTCCCCAGTTTCGTGTCCGTGGACAAATCAATCTCTACACAACCCTCTGGACAGCTAGCGCCATCTATGAGCGGCGGCGACAACCAGACAATCGGCTTGCCGGTCGACTGGTTGTCGCCGCCGTTCCTCGTTTCGTGAAGCCCAGATAAAAGCGTGGACGCGAGGCTCAACACTGAATCGTTGACGGGTGGGAGAGGAGGAGCGAGGTGCTGAATGCCGATTGGTTAACGGAGAGGTCATGTGACCAGAGGGGTAGGAGGAGGAGTGAGGTAGGCGAGGAGGAGCTCAACCACCTGTGCGCACTGAGGAAAGGGAGCTCGACAGTATGGAAGGCTCTGGAAGATCACCAGGTTTATCATCCCGATTAGCGGGAGCATCGCTTCATTCTAGGAATAACTATCAACTGTACAGATGGTTAGTATTAAACTACCTGATAAAGAGCGCCGTGAACGTGGGCGTCATGAAAACTCAAGAGTATCACTAAATTTCACGTGTGCAACACAATTGCCAAACAACTTGCCTTTTTTTTTTATTTCTTGTTTACTAAAATAGACGAATCGATTGTCGCTTGAATTTTAAAAATTAGTTCGCTACGTTCGCGGTTATGGATATATGACGAAAGTGTGAAATTACCGCGTTTTCTCCAACGGGATAAAATAGCATACACTGATGTCCGCACGCGCCGGTACCGCTTTGCACGCGATGAAGTATAGTACTTGCGTTTGATATTTTCGTCACGGAAGTTCCATGGATTTACTCTCATGCCACGGCCTTACGTTGCTTCCACTTGAAGCGAAATTGAGTTCCGATTCAAGAAAGATACCAGACCCGTCAAAACGACCGAAACAAGTTGGATTGAGCTGACGAGAAGGCGTTTTATCTGATTCACCGCTAAATACGGCTGAATTCACTTCCGCCTCACGTTTAAGTAGCACTGGCTCCATGAACTTACTCTCAAGTCGTGGACAGAGATGCTTTCCCACCAAAAAAGTGGGGTCATCAGAGCGGCTCTATGAGCGACGTCCTATCGCGTGAAAGGGGCGACTCAGAGTGGGTTTCGTGTAGGGCTCTGCATTTTAGGCTAATATACCTATAAACCCCACCCCCCCCCCCCCCCCCCAAAAAAAAAAAAAAAATGCGCCTAATTTTTTTTTTAAAAAGTTGAAAACAGCGAACTTTAGCTACACGAACTCTGCCTACACCTAGCGACCCCGAGATAATAACGATCCCTTTAATTATAATAAATGTCCCTGCGCAACTAAACACAACTTGGATTCATCTACCGTTAAAAATAAATTGTTGATTTTTTTTTTAACATTTGACATAAACGTATGCGTATTTTATTAAACGTCTTCTGGGGCAAAGTTTATTTCGTTGTGACAGGCGCGTCCTATCCATGGGAGCTTTAAATAAAGACAGTATTGTGGGGAGTACGGTGTACGTTTAACAGGGTGTCTAGCAAATTATTCTTTTGAAATTTCCTGACTTTTCCAGGTTTTCCCGGACAATTTCATGTGAAATTCCCTAACCACTCTAGAGGCGGTTACATATATAAGACCACTACAACATAAGGCATTGAGCAATTGAGCACAATGAGGATTATTTTGCACGGGCCTAATCTAACTTACATCTTCCGAAATATTTGGGTTCGTCCAGTCCGGATTTACGAGTACTTTCTTGCCACCGACATCGTCAGTGAAGAGGCCACTTCCGGAAACACGATGAAAACACGACCCTCAACCACACACGTCAACAACCAAATGGCAACATGGCCGCCAGATGCACTTTCGGATACTTTCGGCTTAAGGCATGGATTGGAGTCTGCGGCTTTCCCATTTGTTACTATATCTAGTAGCTCAAACTGGATCTAGTTCAGTGTCGCGCTCTCAATCCAATCCAATTTATGGCTTGGACTGGATTTGTCGAATGTTCTCTTTGCATCGGGTAGCACACTGTACATCAGGTGAGCAGAGCTCTCGCTCAGCTCCAAGCAGAATGTATTGCCTATTTTTCTGCCCCCAAGTCCTCAAGTATTTGCTCAGGGCACTCGATGGCGTTTCCGCCTCATTTTCCCTGATTGGGCTGGCTTTTTGACGATTTCCCTTAAAATTCCCCGATCTTTCCCGGTAATTAAAACTTCCCTGACAATTCCCTCATTTTTCCCGGTAATTAAAATTTCCCTGACAATTCCCGGTTTTCAGGGTAGCTAGACAACCCCCATCACGTCAATGAGAGTGACGGTTCGAACGAAGTGACAACTCTTCGCAGGAGGAGAGCACTTCGACAATACGTTGTCACGTGCCTCGGGTATACGACGCGCCGATTGGCTCACCGGGGCCGTGGCCTTCGCCGTGTGCCAAGGTATGACGAACAGCCGTCGGCAGCGCTCACGAGCAAAAGACTAGTGTAGAAGCGCGGAGTCCGTAAATAACGAATCCTGTTCTTATACACAGACTAAAGCCAACTAATCTAATAAAGGACACGCGGCAGATATAGCCGCGCGCAACTGCGATGGCACCGAAGCGAAACGCGCAGTACGGGCACACGGTGGATTCAAAGCGAACAGGAAGAAGCAAAAACAATAAAGAAAATGCGCATGTACGGGTACAAGAACAGTTCGCAATAGAGCGTGTCGCGAGAAAAGCTCCAACAAATGCACGATTCGCCGCAAGCTGTATACCGCTGCGTTGTTTGAACGCAGCGGGACTTTCCGTAAAAGCGGAGGAATCACGAGGCCACCGAAACGGCTTATCTCTTCAGGTGGAGCAGCTGGCAGCACGAAAAGACGAAAATTCATATCGAATACAAAACCGTCGTAGAATAAAAACGGACCCCTGCCAGACCCCGTTCGGTCAACTAAAGGGACGGGGATCCAACATTGACAACTCCCTCCTATTTGTACACGAAGGAAACGGAGGAGCGACGATGAAAGTATATTTGAAAGATTAGTCGTCCGTCCCGAATGTGCGTTCTATTCTGTCAGTATTTGTATACGCTTTCGAGCCTTCTCCACCGTCTCTCACTGCGAAACACGGGTGACTTTTGGACCCCGGCTTTTTTTTACTCCACGTGAATCCAGATTATCAGCTTCTCTTATCGACTCGCGATGCGGGAAGTGGTCACTATCTTTCTCGAGACACTCGAATACACTTCCGTTGAATCTGTGGATACGTTGGTTTTGTCTAACACTACGGCATTTTTTTTTTTCTTAAACCTTACTTACGGCGTTTCCGAGTCGACTTGCGCTGGTCCTTCGAGGACTTGTGCCTCAAAATCGCAGCGGTAGCCTCCGCAAAGCGACGCCCACCACCGGTCACGCCCCCCTGACCGGAAGTGGACGATCCACGTCTCCCACCGGAAATGGGTCCCGGTGCCGTCGGCGGGGCCGTGTCGGCGCAGCAGTATGTGTACGAACGGCCCAGCGCTCGCAGAAAGAACTTCTCCATCGGAACCACACGACACGGGCACCAACACAACACAAACAAACACGCTGCTCCAGCGTTGCTCGCCGCGTCGTCTCGCTACACGCGCGGCAGCATTCTCGACGCGAAGCACTTCGAGACGACACGAACCGACGGTCCCGCGTGGGTAGCGCGAAACTTGGTCATCTTCGGAAACCGCGACGTCACGTCGCACGGGGGCCAATCGAAGGACGACGATCCACGTCGTAACCCCCGGAGCTTGGAACCGGAGCGCGGAGGAGGATGCGAGACGCGGATTCCCGGCACGGCCCGAGTCGCTCGATTCCCGGGAATGCCCGCCGAAGGAGTCAACAATCGGGAAGGAAGAGGCGGATGACGTCACTTGCAGCGCCAGATGATGATGACGACGGAGAACTCACAATCCTTGAGGAGGGGGCGTCGGGCAGGCCTCTGTCTCGCACGTCGCTCGACCAGGTCTCCGCGCGAGTATATTGACCGGCCACCTACACGCAGGGCGATCGAAGCACTCGAAGGATGAGACCACTTTGCGCGCGCGCGGAACACCGTTATCCCCACGAGGTACGAATATCTTATCGCGGGCAGGCCGGTTTTTGCTCTCGCCCGAAGCAGACGACAGGTTCAGAGCAAATACGGAGGGATTCCGGTGAGCCAACAACATCTGCGAGGTGCGAGCCAGAAGCTGACGATGGATCGCTGCTCCTCGGCACGTAGTCGGCCCATGTCTTCGGATCGCAGCCCTTCGATGCAAGATCCAAAGAAGCGACGGTCCAAAGATGGGAGGAGCTAGTTTGAGTCCCGCCGCATGAACCGGGACGGCCGAAGCGGAACAAAACTCTCGTTGGGACTCGGAGAAATCGTGGCTGGCGCGTTGCAGAAGGGAAGCCGGAATGGAACACGTACGGCACGGCGGCAGCACGACGTGCTGCGTCTAGCGAAAGCGAGGGGTATATACATACACGCCGTATGAAAGACAAAAAGAAAAACAGAAAGCCAAATGCAGTCTTTAAACAGACGATAACGCTCGAGAGCCGAGGGAGAGAGCGGCAATAAATAGTACATCAAAAAAGAAGGCGAACGGAGGAAAGAGCTACATCCGTCAAGCCCGAGCGTCGTCTGCTACATTCCGTCGTCGTTGATCGCAGCCGACGCGAGTCGCTGTTGCGGGGGCGCTCGTGTCGACGTCAAAATGGCAGCCGCGCACTCATTAGCCGCCCTTTCCCTCTACCCCCGTCCACTTCTCACCCGTATCATTCATTTAAGCCGCACGAAGGAATGGAGGTAACAGTGAGCGGGCTAACGGCAAAAGGGATGACATAGTTGATAGACGCGCACATGAATGAGGACCTATTCATCCGACGACATAAAATAAAAATAAAAACCGAAAAACAGGTCAGGGCTTTGTGACAATAGAGTTACAGTGTGAAACACCACTGTAGAGGTTTTCTTTTTTTGTTTTCAAAACTCGCACCGTATATTTGCTCGATGGTTGTGTTGGAAAGAAAGGCGCTTTGACACTTAGCGCATGAAGCGCGACACGGATAGCGCCAACACGTGATCGGAGGTTGTTTTTTTTTTTTTCCCTCTTTCTCTAGCACAGTTAAAGACCTTTCAAAAAAAAAAAAAGCAACTTCAAATCACGAAGAAATATAAAGTTAGACAACAAACCTGCAGATAAGGAAATCACTGAAGTCGCGTTCGCGCTAACTATGCCCCGCAGCCACTTTTTTGGTTTTTGTTTTTGCCGCGATTGATTGTTTATTTGTTTTAGTCAAGTTATAGCGCCAGCTTACTGAACAAAATCCACGGCAGAAAAAAAAAAAAAACTGAGACTTTTATTCATTAGAGCTACGTACACGCCGCACACGGCCACGATTTTGCACCAAACATACACGGTCCTAAACTCGCCTTCATCGTTCACCAAGTCGACTCAAACATGGACATGGGCCACCCATCATTAGCACAATCCGCGTCGCACGCCGCCTACATTTTTTTCTTTTCCGAGACTATAAAAAGAAGGTGTGTCCGACTCCGGGAGCTGACTAAAGCCTCATCCAAGACCGTCATCGACGTCGCTGACCAGAGCGCGTACACAAGTCCACGCGTGGACATTCGTGCGTGCAGATCGTGAGGTCTCCTGACGCAAGGGTCGCACGAAGGAAACGAATTAATCAAAAGGAAAGGAGCAATGGAAAACCAGTCCGCTGCCAAGCGGACCTGCGCGTTCACGATCCTCCCACGTCGTTCAGCTGGCAACCGCGGCTGCAACCGCTTTACTCTCTCTCTCTCTTTCGAGCGAGGCCAAAGAGCCAAAGGAATCAAAGCGTTACACTCCACGCCTCATCTTCCCAGCACGACATGGGAGAACGTCTCGATGTCGTTTTGCGGAGCTTTTCTGTCCGTGTATACTTCGGTTTCGCAACCTAACGATTTTACGACACGAAAGAATCAAAATGGATTCTGATCGTCTGCTACCGTTCCGGTAGTGGCCGGCCCTTCAAAAAAAAAAAGAAAAGAAACATTGAACGAACGTTAGTAACACCATTAGCGACGCTTATTCTCTTCATTTCACTTCCGGATTTAAAGACAATTTAGTTGACGAGGACTCCCCGTCCTAGATCCAGACCGTTGGGGAGTTGAAAGAAACTCGTACACGTCGCCCTAGCTCGGATGGCTTCCTTATGGTATGCCTTGCGGTGAATGCCGCAAGGCATATCATGCGTGCAGGTCATCCGTCCGTCCGAACGGATGACCTGCACGCCACGTCTCGGACATAAACTCGACAGCTTCTATGTGAAACCTGAGCTTCGTCATCACGTGCGGGCTAAAGAATTCTTCGGTCGCGAGTTAGGAAAAGTGTGCATCATCGCATCCCTCAACCAACGTAAAAGAAGTGCAAACAGCGCAACGACGCGGACAGAGTAAAAGAAGACAGACAAATAAACAGCAGCGCTGACTTGCAACTGTCCGTGTCGCTGCGCTGTTTCTGCTCTTACTAATGAACCAACTAGCCCAGTCGTCTAGTCTCTAGTACGTTATTCACCCTCAAACAGCGGATGCGAGGGAGCGTTGTCATCCCGGCAAACGGAAAGCCTCGCACGCTCGAACTTCGAAGGAGGCACCCTGTCTGAAACGTAGTGTTGCTCGCCTAGGGCGCGTAACAGTGACACAGTAGATAAAATCACTCAAAGAACTATTCACAAAGGAGTGAACACCTGAATGTTTGAGAAGAACTGATCAACACGACGACACTAACAAACTAAAAACTTGATCGAATCCTCGATGCGAAAATGATCGTTAGATGGCAGAGTCTGCCGCTATACACCCAGATCGCCACGCTCACGTACCATACAAACACATTGTGCACCAATCAAGAACGCTGAAACGGGGACACCAGACGTACCCAAGAAGGCAACAACAAACCTAAAGGTCGGAAGAAAAAAAAAATGAGACGTTTACAATTCTCTTTAATGCCGAATTAGAGCGCAGCTCTTGAGGAGGAGAGGAGGGGAGGGCACGGAGCGGAGGGTCACGTCTGACGTCACGAGGGTAAAATTTCCCCGCTAAATTGGGTGGGAGATCGTTCCGCAAGATTTAGCGGGAAACTTTTTACGCTAAACTTAGCGGGCAAATTTTACCCTCCTGACGTCACGCGTGACGTCGTTATGGGAAACGTCCCATAATGCAACGCACGGTTACGGCGACGCTCTCAAGCCGGAAACAGGTGCCTAAGTGCTGTGCTCTAAAAGAAAGATGACAAGTTAAAAAATGATGCTTTGCTCCTACGTATAAAATACACGCGAATCTTCTGTCGCCAGTGATAAAAGGTCCCAGGTTTTTAAGTCAAATCTTTCGTACACTACGTGTGTGTGTAGGCGTTATAAACGTACACCACGCACTTGACACACAGCTGGCGGATAGTGCGAGCCTACAAGAAGCTACAAGAGCGAGCTCGGGGCTTTCAGCGTCCCTGCAAAGCATGCGCGCTCAAGCAGTGCAAATATCGTTCGGGCAAACATATATGCCCATGCTTGACGCTATTCGCTCGCTCAGAAAGTGAGACAAACTAGAGTTGCGGCGCAGTAAAACCGAGTACTGCGCCGTTGGTCCACCAAAACGTCCTCGGATGCACAAGTACCATGCGTAGAGACGAACAAAACAACTGCGTAGAAATCTTGTCCTTTAGCCGCTCGTAGAAATATATCTATATATATATCGATCGCGACAGTCTCATATCGCAGCGGAAACGACCGGCACTCCCCGTTACAGAAAAAGGCGACCAAAGATAAAGCTCGAGATTACGATAACAAAACAAGTCCCAAAACACATTCGAGGCGTAACTATACGGCACACACAAGATAGGCGTCTTCACGTTCGCAAGTACTTCTCAAAGAGCGAACGGCTGGACCGAAAGAAAAGCAGACTGGCAGCGCATCACGACATCATCGCTATCAAAAGCCTACGCGCAGCCTTCCCGCCCCATGCGCAATGCATGACGTCACGCCAGCAAAGCGCGCACACCCAGCCGGCCCACGCGGCGGCGGTGGCGATGGCAAATTTTAGAGGTGACGGAAATTCTCTAACTCGAGGACAGGGAGGCAGGAGTGAAAGCTACCTCAACATCCGTCAAAGCGAGTCTCGGGCAACAAAAACGAAAAAAAGAAACAGATCTTAAAGGTACGAAACAACGCGGAGGAGGACGCGGCATTCTACAGTGACGTTTTACCTCAGATTCCCCTTTCTCCCTCTCTCTCCACAGACGTCAGTGTATACTATACATCTGAATCAAGAGTCGGAAGGGGCGCCAGATCCGCCCCGAGCGCACGACGCATCCCGGCAGCTCCCCGAAGAAGGTCGCGAGTCTTGTCGCTTGACGGATGGGCGGGGAAAAGGGGGGCCCCGAATAATATCAAGAGGTCGTTTCTCCCTTCTCGTCCGGGCAGCCTCCCTGCTCCTGCCTCCGTGAGCACAGGCGCACGCGCTCGTTCTGGTGAACATGAAGTAGTCCGACAATTTTTGTAAACGCTAGCAAAAGAAAAAAAGTACACCAAGTTGATCAGGCTGGTAAAGATAGGGGTGCATTTAATGTGTCATGAAAGAGCTGGGCGCATGATGTCTCTGTGTGTGTGTGTCTGTGTGCGTCTGCGTCTGCGCGTGCGTGCGTGCGTGTGTGCGTGTTTGTTGTGTGTGTGCGTGTGTTTGGTGTGAGCGGGTGGGTGCGCGCTCGCGCGCGTGTGTGTGTCTGTGTTACGTAACATAACTGTAACTGAAGCGTCAAGTGACCTCATGGCGTCACATGAAGTCGGGGTGTAACGTGACATTATGGTGTCACATGACGTCATGTCACGCGACGTTAGAGTCCTCCGTGACGGTTCTTCGAATGATCCTAAGTGGGGGTTCTTCGTCAAGGTACTTCGTGACGGTTCCTCGTGACGATTTTCTCATAGGATTCGGGTGACGGAGCACACTGTGTGGTAGAAAAGGTGAGTATAACGACTACGTTACTGTCGCCGACAAACTATTTCACTGTTAAGTGATTTTGTTTATGTTTAGACGCTACATTATGAGAACTTTTAGCCAGTGAAGTACCACTCCTTACCTGTTTTTTTTTTTTTTTTTTTTTTTTTAACGTGCACCAGACAGTAGAGATAACGCGACCGCATTCCGGTACGATGCATGCTCATCCAGCTCTTAACGGGAAGGGGTGGGATTGAATGCAGAATCCCTCGGTCAAATGTTCGATTATTCGATTGTCAGGCGATACGGCCAAAGGAAGCGGCGGCTGCTACTCCAAGCAGCTCTACGGGAGGTGTTTTTGAGGTGAGATTAATGTTGGCAATTACAATAAATAAAAAAAAATAGTAGTCAATCTTTTTTTTTTTTTTAATTTACGGTGGTGGGCATTAGCTGAGAAGTAATAATAGCCATAACCGCGACAAGGACAAAGTATCACGCGGCCCATTGCAAAGACGTGTAACATGTAATTTTATTCAAGCGGTAAATACAGGTGCCACCCCGAGGATCCGGGGTTAAATGTAAAGTTGCAGGTTAACCTACAACTGTAAGGGTTCACCTGCAACCTAACCTGCTGTAGGTTATGAAAAGCCGGACAAGGACCTCTCGCCCTCCATTCTTTCCCCTTTAGCAGAAGGAACGTTGGAGAGCAGCTGAATGGACTCTCCTCATCCCCCGCGTTCTCTCTGCAGCG